TTTCAATAAATTCAATTTGGCAGCCACAGTGCAGCCGCAGTGCAGCCACAGTGCAGCCAGAGTGCAGCCAGAGTGCAGCCGCAGTGCAGCCGCAGTGCAGCCGCAGTGCAGCCACAGTGCAGCCAGAGTGCAGCCAGAGTGAAGCCACAGTGCAGCCACAGTGCAGCCACAGTGCAGCCGCAGTGCAGCCGCAGTGCAGCCACAGTGCAGCCAGAGTGCAGCCACAGTGCAGCCGCAGTGCAGCCAGAGTGCAGCCAGAATGCAGCCGCAGTGCAGCCACAGTGCAGCCAGAGTGCAGCCAGAATGCAGCCGCAGTGCAGCCACAGTGCAGCCAGAGTGCAGCCACAGTCGCAGCCGCAGTGCAGCCACAGTGCAGCCAGAATGCAGCCGCAGTGCAGCCGCAGTGCAGCCAGAGTGAATCAACACGTAATGAAATAAGACCCCACGGTTTGATGATTGATAGGTGTGTGGGCTGTCTTTCATTTTGACACACAGAACAATGTTATAATAAACATACTTTATGTTAAATGGATATATCCGCCTTCTTTCATTTATCTTTCCATTCCCACAACAATATACATAAAGAAATGGCATATTTTGGACATAGTTCGAATGGTGATTAATCATGATTCATTAATTTTTAAGCTGTGATTAATCTGATTACAAATTGTAATCGTTTGACAGCCCTAGTATAAATATAGTATATATACCTGGTGTTTGGAGAGCAGCGTGGACGTCCTGAAGCTCATGTCGCACTGCGGGCAGGCGTAGAAGGTGTCGCCGGGCGGACTCTGAGCGACGGCCCGGCGGCTCTTCTGCCTCCGGCCTCCTGCCTTCTGGGGGTGACGCAGGGCGGCCATGTCTTCTTTCGGGAGCCCCTTCCCCTTCTTGTGGACGAGGCGGTGGCGCGACAGGCTGGAGCTGTGGTTGAACTCCTTCCCGCAGATGTTGCACGGGTGGATGCGCCGCTTCCCGTGCAGCCGCAGGTGGCTGCCCAGCATCCTGCACACAACATCAAACTGAGGCTTCAGGCGTCTGAACATTAATCATTATTAAAAATGCATCTCAAATTAAAAACGTAAAAATCTTAGATCAATCGTTAATCAAGTTAATTAAATAATTAATAAAAAAACTGAAAGTATTAATAATAGTTATTAATTTAAATAATGCATTTACTGGGATTCATTCAAAAATTAAAAGAGATGAATGAAATAATTAATCAAAACAGAAAGTATTAATAACATTAAATAAAACTTTAGAAAATAAATAAAAACTAAAATAAATAATAATAGTTATTAATTTAAATGTAAAAGAATGAATGAATTAGATTAAGTAGATGGGGGTACCTGCTCCCCTTGAAGGTCATGCCGCAGTGGGGGCAGGAGTACTGCGCCTCCAGGTGGGGGGGCTCCCTCTTGATGGGCGCCGCCCCCCCCTTGCTGTGGGTCTGCTGGTGTCGGTACAGACTGGAGGCGTGGCTGTAGCTCTTCCCACAGAAGCTGCAGCGGTACTGACGCTCCTCCTCCTCTTCCTCTTCATCCTCCTCCTCCTCCTCCTGCAGCTGGCTGACCCCCGCCTGCTCCTCCTGCTCCTCCGGCTCCTCCTGCTCTTCCTCCTCCTCCTCCTCGCCAGAGTCCGTCTTGATCTCCACGCTCTGCTCCGTCACCTCGCACGGATAAACCTAACAAACCATAATAGTGTCAGATGTTAGAAGGTAACCAGTCAGAGGGTAACCAGTCAGAGGGTAACCAATCAGAGGGTAACCAATCAGAGGGTAACCAGTCAGAGGGTAACCAATCAGAGGGTAACCAGTCAGAGGGTAACCAATCAGAGGGTAACCAGTCAGAGGGTAACCAATCAGAGGGTAACCAGTCAGAGGGTAACTAGTCAGAGGGTAACCAATCAGAGGGTAACCAATCAGAGGGTAACAAGTCAGAGGGTAACCAGTCAGAGGGTAACCAGTCAGAGGGTAACCAGTCAGAGGGTAACCAATCAGAGGGTAACCAATCAGAGGGTAACCAATCAGAGGGTAACAAGTCAGAGGGTAACCAGTCAGAGGGTAACCAGTCAGAGGGTAACCAATCAGAGGGTAACCAATCAGAGGGTAACCAATCAGAGGGTAACAAGTCAGAAGGTAATCAATCAGAGGGTAA